ATATATATATATATATATATATATATCTGTGTGTGTGTGTGTGTGTGTGTGTATGTGCATGTAGGTATTATATACATATAAATCATAAGAGTGATAAAACTGATTATAATCTTTATCATTATTGTTATTATCATCATGAATATTATCATTATGATTTATTTATTTTGTATATTTTTGGCTCCAGTGTTATTCAATCATGATCATTTATTAATCTCTTTTAAAGCCTCTGCAAACATAGTGTTTTCAGAGGAAATCTGTTCTTCTCAAAGTGTAATTATTGCAACAGGGAATATGTTTACTCATCAAAGATGCTTTTATGTTATACAATAGTTAGTGTGTACATTGACATGTTTCATTTGGTACGGTTAGTCGACTTCGTAATATGTTTAAGCTAAAGGTTATGGTAACTCTTCTCTTCTCTCTCATTCTCTGTCTCTCTCTCTCACTACTCTCTTCCTCTCCATTACTCTCTCTCTCTCTCTCCTTAACTCTTGTCTCTCTCTCTCTCTCATATCTCTGCTCCTCTCTCCTCACTCTCTCTCTCTCTCTCTTTTCTCTCTCCCTCCCTCACTCTCCCTCTCTCTCTCTTTCCTCTTCTCTCTTTCTCTTCTCTCTCTCACTCCCTTCCTCCCCTCCCTCCTTCCCTCTCTCACTCTCTCTCTCTCTTCTCTCGCTCCCTTCCTCCCTCCCTTCTCCCCCCCCCTCTCTCTCTCCCTCTCCACCCCTCTTTCTCTCCCTCCCTCCCTCCCCCCCCCTCATCGCATACATCTAAACACTTACATACCACACGAGCGTGTTTGTGTATTTCATTAGGAAATCAATTAATATTTCCCCCATTCATATAACACCTGTAGTATGTGAAGTACTGTACATATAATGTTTTCAATAATCGTTTATTGTTTATGCAAGAGAGACACTCACGTATTATCCAATCTGTCTGTGTCAATTCACTCATATTGTGACTATCTACTTGGCACGATAGAAGTATTTCATATTAATCAGATATTCATCAAGTAAAACATAACAAAAGATAGTGGGAGGATGAATATCCAACATACGAGCATTCCATGATAAATAGTGTGTGACTCGATGAATAATAATGTTCAGTCACAATATTCATGAGTATGTGAACTGATATCTATTTATCATCAATGTCATACTCATGACTGATTTCTGTGATGAACTGTCATAATGTGTAAACTGATTATTTATTATTAGTTACTATCTATTCATCAGTCACATATACTGCGTGACTGATGAATATACTGCGTCACATACTTATAATCACTTAACATGCTTTACTTATCAGTCACATACTAAATAATCATGTGACTGATATCATCTATCTATCAGTCACATAACTTAAACTCACGTGAATGAGTAAGTCAAATCAGTCATCAATACTTGAAAAGCGACTGAACAAACTGAAACAACTGACAACGAAACAAGCAAACAAGCCATAAACAGCAATAATCAACCTCTTCTCCTTTCACAAACTGCCTACTTACTAAAATGACTCTTCTGTAATTCAGTGATTTCCAAGTTATTAAAGTAATCGTGGTATTGGTGAAGTTTCATCACAATGAACATATCCAGAATAAGGGCAATAATAAAATCATAATGCGTAATGTAGGTTCTAGAAGCTAACCTTACGCTTAATTTAATTATTGCTTTTAGTATTACTGTTTATATACGTTTGCCAAGAAGGGGTTATGCTTTTTGGTAGCGTTGGTGGTTGTAATTGTTTGTTTCGTTGGTTCTGTGTGGGTTAGCAGGATGACCCAAAAAAGCTATGATCAGATTTTTATTTATTTATTTTTTACTTATTTATTTGTTTATTTTATTATTATTATTATTATTATTATTATTATTATTATTTTTTTTATTTTTTTTTTTTTTTTTTGGTATTTTTTTTTTTTTTTTTTTTTTTTATTGTTTTTTAATTTGCTAAGGTATAGTCTATCTTAAATGCTATCTGAATTCTGACTTTTTCTTGAGAGTTATTACATTACTATCATCCAATAATATATATCAATATCATAATTATATCATTATCACAATCATCATTATCATTACCACCAGCCTTATAGGCTATTATTGTTATTATATAATAATGGTTATCCAGCATAATCATTATCATCATCATTGTTAATAATCCATTATCATGTCAAAATTTATCACAATCATTTATCATCAATTAATATTATTTTAGGGGAGGGAGGAGGAAGGAGGCCACAAGAAGGAGGCGGGGGAATAAAGCGGGGGGGGGGGCGAATGGCCACAGGTGATGAGGGAAGTAGCGGGGAGTGGCAAGGGAGGCAGCCAGAAGAGTGAATATAACCAAGAGGGGGGGGGGGGCGGAAATAGGCCACAGGAAGGAGGCGTGAAATAAGCGGGGGGGGGGAGGAGAAATGGCGCACAGGGTGAAATGAGGGGGAAGGGGGGAAACGACCACAGGTGGGGGGGTGGGGAAATGAATGGGGGCGAAATGGGCCACAGG